TAAGATCGAGAAAAACCGAAGTGAACAGAGAAGTTCATGGAGGTAGGCCTAGGCCCACTGGGGCTGTAGTGCCAAAAAAAAAATTTGTAATTTCTCCGATAAAACATGTAATTAGAAATTGGAATAACTACTGTAAAACGTGAAGGATAGCAGCAGTAATGAATTTAACTCCAGTTCTTCATTTACACGCTTACTTAACAGCCCAAAGGACAATTACAAAGTGAGGACGAGTAAAGAAAAAGAAAGAGAAAAAGAAATAATAATAATAATAATAATAATAATAATAATAATAATAATAATTGATATGTTTTTTCTTGGAAGAATATGAATTCATAGTTAATTAGCTGCATGGATTTTCTCATTGTAAATGCATACTCGTATCTTCCTCACTCTTGTAGTCCTGGAATCAGAACAAATTTCAGCAGAGGTAACAAGAGTCTGCAAGCTGTCATTCTCATGCGAATGAAATGTGCACCAATGTGAGAGCATGATCGCATGGAAATCATAACTGTAGGTAGCTGAACATCATGAATTAAAATGAGACAATTATTTAACAGTCTTAGTTGTATTCACATATCTTCGTGATCCTGTATTCTACGCCTCAGAATACCAACCGCAGCGGTTGCATGACGGTCTGTGACGAAGGTTCGGAGAGCAGCAATAGGAGAAGAAAGAAGCCAAAGCACCACCAAAGTCGTCATCCTCCTCGAAACGGTGTATAATGGAGTCACCATTCTCCTGAAAAGGACATATCTGTTAAACATTTATGGTGTAGCGGGCCGAAGTAAACATTCTGACAGCTTTCCATCAAAGGAAACCGTTGTTATGTGAAGAATGCCGTCTTCTGGGATGTGGCGCCGTGTAGATATTGTGCTAACCGACGTTTCGGAGGACCATCGATTAACACAATATCTAGGCCGCGCCATAGTTCAAGCGCTTAGTCCCTGGCTTCCCACCGTGGCTGCCGGGTTCGATCCCGGGTCTGATCAAGTGGGATTTGTGGTGGACAAAGTGGGGCTGGGGCAGGTTTTCTCCGAGTACTTCGGTTTCCCCTGCCAATCTTCATTCCACCAATTGCTCCACAATCACCCTCACCTATCATCTGGGGCTGGTACAATAGGCCAGAATTGGTCGCAGTACAAGGGACTTACTCCCACTCCACTAGCATTAAGAAAATTAATGACTCAGTAAATATGTTTCCGTGGCCAAGAACATACATGCAGCAATATAGAAACTGTTGGACGCGGTGTTATCTCTGCGGTCTATATCGTATCAAACATCATGTATTGAAAGGAAAGTAGGAGATTATATTTGATCCTCCCAGAATTTCTTATTTACTATTTCGACATATGTCCCTAACCACAACATAAAAAATGCAGCTAATAGACTGAATCACAAACAAGATATCACAGGCAATTTCTGTTAAAATGTTGGGTGGAGTAATATTTTGTTTTGACTTGAAATTTTGTCGTGACTTGACGATGCTGGAGCGACCCGTGCCTAGTGCATCCCCGTTCCGTTAATATCCAGTGTGATACAGAACTGCCTCCGCCCGCCCATCACGTCCCCTCAGCTTCAATCTAAACTTAAGGTGCATACAGAACAACTTTATTGATCGTGTTAGCAAAACGACATAGCAGCCCTTGTTTGTAACTTTATTGACCGTGGGCAGTGGGAATGACCTCTGAGTCACACACAGTTCCAGGAGTTCAGTCTCAGGACGGAGGCTTTTCATTCGTGTGAGTTCCGAAGGTTTCCCAAAAAACTAGGGGTTCTTTGTTTAGAAGAGAGTTGCGTGCAGCTACTTGTTACAAATTCCTGAGATCAGTACTACACGCAATAGAGTGTAACTGTTCTGCCACGATATTTTTTGAAACGCATGGGGTTGGCCGGGGTGTTGGCAGACTGTGTTCACAGTACATACGCGAGAAAAGGAATTTGGTGGGATTCGTGTCCCCGTTACCCTCTCTGACGTGAAAGCGGTCAGTCACTAGCCTAAACACATATATTAGCGGAAAAGGACTGTGTGTTGATTTTTGTTATTTTACGATGCTACTAGTACCTAGACAATATAAAGACGAAGAGTAAGACGACAAATTGTGAATTGGAAAGGATTTGGAAAGAAGTTGTCGTGTTGTAATCGATGTATTGTCGTAGTTTTAGCCTCGAAGGACTGAGGGAAACCATATAAAATCCTAGGGCAGCCGGTGTCCCGGCATAGATATAAACCGAGCACCTCCTCAATGTATTGTATCCATATTATCACCCAGTAGATTCACACTATTGGCATAAACCAACAACTGATGTGTCCAATTCAATTTCAGTCCCACCTTGTTTTCCTAGACCTTCCAAATTGCGTATACTAAAGCAAAGTTGAAAAGGAGTGGCGATAAAGCATCTCCTTGTTTTGAGCCATTCTGAATATGAAAATTATCAGACAAATGCTTATCTATACGCACTTCAAGTTTCGTTTAAACACATTTTAATCATTCTAAATAGTTTCATGGGTACCCCTAAGTCTACGAGAATACTGTACAATTAGCTCTTAACTGAATCATAGGCTTTCTTGAAGGCTACGAATAGCTGATATGCTGTCTCATTGTAATCCTATTTTTTCTCTTATATCTGAAGAATGCAAAAGATCTGATCAGTAGTTGATCTGTTACGTCGAAACACACACTGATGGTCCCCAATAATTTCACCTATGTATAGACATAACATTGAGAGAAGAATATTGGATAAAATTTTGCATGAAGTCGATAGCAGTGATATCCCACGATAAGTAAGATAGTATTACCATCCTTCTTGTGAAGTGGTACAATAATAGACTCCTTCCATTATCAGGCAATTCTTCCTTATCTCAAATAGAATTAAGGAGTATATTCATCCCAGACCGTAATGTTTCTTCTGCAGCTTCAAACAGTTCTGCTTGACTGGCGATTTATACTGTTGCACGTAGACCCGTTGTTAGGTAAAGGCTCCTCTAACAGACACGAATTAATCAATTCTACGGCAACAGAGGATACAGCAATAATGGGAAGGGGTGTCCTCTACGTGGCCCCTGCCATAGCTATGAGATGCGACAAAAGAAGAATAATTGCGAGAGGTGTTCTCAATGCGGCCCGTGCCGAGGCTATAATAACGAGTAGAAGCTGTAATTAAGAGAGATGTCCGTGTGGAGGCGGGGTCGAATACCTCCACCGTGACCCTGCGAGTCGTAGGAAGCGACGAAAGGGGAAGTCTCAAATCTGAGACAGTAAAATATGGCCGCGAGCCCCAAGGGACTCGGACCCGAGAAATATTGCGCTGGCAAGGACCAGCAGCATATGTAACAGACACATCCTGCCCTCTCGTCAGAGAAGGGGCCCCACAAAAGCAAGACCGTAACTGTCAAACCGTAATAAATATTTGGTCATGAGCCCCAGATGGTACTCGACACCAACACTTACTGACTGACTGACCTTCAGTCGCAATGTGACTTGGACTTGGATTACGAGAGAATTTTTAAGGCAGTGAGAATAGTAGGAGTTTGGCGTGAGATGGCCGCCAGCCTGAGAGCGATGAGCAATGAGTGAGTTGTGAGACAGTCTCCTAACAATAAAGACGTGAACAAGGAAGTTGAGGAAGTTACTGCGTTGAAGCTGTAAGCAGGCGACGACGGGTGAAGGCACAGCAGAATTAGAAGACGTATTAAGTGCTGTAGTGAACTCCAGAGAGTGAAGAAAGCAGCCTTCTGGGATTTGGCACCGTGTATATGTGGTGTTAACCGACGTTTCGGAGGAACGTATCGCCCCCATCTTCAGGGTAGAAGAAAAAGTATAAGAAATCTGCTTTACCGTTTCTCACGCTGTTGTCGCTTGCAGATTTCTTATACTTTTTCTTCTACCCTGAAGATGGGGGCGATACGTTCCTCCGAAACGTCGGTTAACACCACATATACACGGTGCCAAATCCCAGAAGGCTGCTTTCTTCATAGTCACCGCCGTGAAAGCCTCAAATCCAGAGAGTGAGTTCGCGTAAGCGCTATAGTTACTTGTAGTGTCGACCTGTAACTGTTCAATAAATACAGTTACTAATAAGAAAACCGTCTATAGTCACAATAACTTTTAAATTTTTCAATAGCAATCTCAACCTCAAAAGGACTAGGATCAGGTACCAATGGCTCAGCTGTCTGTATTTCTATCTGCCTAACATCTCTGACCCTATGTGCGTACTTTCAATAACTGAGAGAAGTAGTTCTTCTACATACGAGTATTAAAAATGTTGCAGGAATCTGCAAGCGGATCACCATTCACATCCTTCACTAAGTTATTTCTAGGCTGGTAATCACCCTTAAAGTCACCAATTCTTCTATACAGATCTCTAATGTTCTTGTTATTACTGCGAGGTGCAATCTCGTTAATTTTATCTTTCAGATATTCAATTTTTTGTTTCTGACATGTATTATGCTCCTTCACTTCATAATATCCTAGACTCTCTTTGGTCGAAATTTTTGTATTCTCTCTAATAGTTTCCCAGGCTCTATTACTCGTAATATCCACCTCAGCGTCCTAGTTTTCCAAAGCTGCGAACCTAATTGAGATTTCAACACTATACTGTTCTTTGCCCTCTACCTCGTTTAATTTCCTGAGATTGACCCTCTCGATAAGAATTCTGTGCCTTGTTTGTTCACTCACTGTCACTTTGCCCCTTACTTTTGCCACCACAAGATAGTGGTTAGTGTTAGAGTATGCTCCCCTGAACGACTGGATATCAAGTACACTTCAATGTCGTCTCCTATCTGTCAAAATATGGCCAATCTGGTTGTGAATCTCTGCATCAGGAGATGTTGAAATAAACAAAATAGTGTTGCAATGTGGGAACGTTGTACTTTTGACAGTAAGATTTTTTGATGTGACAAAATTTACTACTCTAACTCCGTTATTATTACTAATTTCGTGTAACACTCATTTCCAGTTGTTGGTTTGAAAATGTCTTCCCTACCTACTTCGTAACTGAAATTTCCTAAGAAAAATTTCTTGTGGTATTTAGAGAATTTATCGAATACAAGTACTAGTTCCTAATAGAAGCTGTCTTTCATATTATAAATTTTATGTATCTTGGGGCATAAACTCTCTGAACAATATCACACCAGCACCCTCCTAGTGCATGTATGACACCCTATCACTAACGAACTCTACCCTCTTAACTGCTGATATGATTCTCTTACGTATAAAGAAAACCTGTACCGAATTCATGGTTCTCATTCCCCTTTCTATAGAAATATGTATATTCACCTGCACGTTCGGTGCCACACCTGTTCCATCTGACCTGTACTCCCAAAAAATCTAACTGATATCTTGATGTTTCTTTTGCAACTGTCACGAGCGAACCTGCCCTATACTGACTTCTTACATTTCACTTATCAAATAAGTTCATATCTAACAATGGTAGTATAACACTAGAAATTTAAGCTGCGAGCTAGACACATCAACTTAATGCACTGGGAACGAAATGCAGCTAACAGGTTTACAAATAATGAAGTTTAAAATCAATAAACACTCCCAAGCCTTTAATAATGTCGGTAACACTAATAGATGATTGCAAAAGTTAATAATAATAATTCAATTCAATTCTTTATTATTTATGTGCCGATTTGATTTTAAATTGCGATACTGGTAGCAGGGTGATCCGAGACCCGTACAGCATTAATCAAGTCAAAAACAAGAATCGCCACTCCATATCCTTCTCTGGAAATG